AATTTCCAAGCAAAGTACCAGTTGTATGCGAGCACCTAGTGTCACAAGGCTTAGATCCCACAGCCTACCTTTCTTTTGCTTGAAGTAATAATCTAGCAATGTCATCTTGTAACCTCATCGCTTTGAGATTTGCCCTTTTTTAGCACACTGAAGCTTTTGTGGGCTTATCATCTCAAGGCCATCACACAGCACAGTTCAGGGGTACTGATAGCTCACATCGGCCATATTTCTGAGTTTTCTGTTTTAAGAGCTGGTGGGGATGGTCTTGTTCTGTCCCTTGCAGATCTACAATACATTTGCTCGGGTTACAGTATTCTCTAATGATCTGTCCCCAAAGCATTTCTGCTGCAGGCAAAGTCCTTATTTTATATATAAATCCAGTAACAGCATCAGCAAATGCCTTCCTCCTCACTACCAAAAAATGCCCTAGTTCAGAAATTACAAACGCTCCACCTGAAGTTTTAACAAAACTTGGCCCTTTAGTACCAGAAAGCAACAACTAACATCCCTGAAAGTAAAATGTTTTGAACGTGATACAGCAAAACAAAACCTGGGAGAGCAGCTGAAACCAGCGTTTGGTGTATCAGCAGCTGGAGGGGAGGAGGCTGCGTCCCAGTCACGTTCAAGGTGAGCGTTGTTACTTGCTCTGACCAGGGGACGGAAAGCGCAGCTGGAAGGTGGCCCTGGCAAAGAGCCTCAGAGGGGGACTGCTCAGCAGCAGCAGCATAAAGCCACAACTGTGCTTTCTCAAGGGCTGAGCCACTAATAACCATTGAGCAACTCATTAGCAGCACGCTCTGAATCTCCCGGGAGAGCAGCTGAAACCAGCGTTTGGTGCATCAGCAGCTGGAGGGGAGGAGGCTGCGTCCCCCTGCTAGAGGTGTGATGTGCACACAGGGCCCCTCGTCAGGGCTTTTGAGGAATGGCTGAAAAAGGGTGAGTAGCGAGCTGGAAAGGACAGGAAGGAAGCAGGGTGTCATGCAGGCACTCATGGTACTCTATGGCTTCAAGTAAAACAGAGTGTCAAAACACAGAAGTCTTATGAGCTGAGGCGGAAACCATGTAACACTGAAGGACACTTAAAACCTGCTCCAGGGCTGGAGGTGGCTGGAGAACAACCAGGTCCAACAGCTCAGGTGTGTGGATCAGCTGCCTGGGGCACAACAGTGCTGGTCCTGCCACAGTATTGCCATGCTGTCTGGTTCCAGCTCTAGCATCAGAGTGGGAGCTTGGGCTTCCGAAAATAAAACACACCCACCAATCCCCCCCCTTTACCAAATCACACAAACACAATCTTTCCAGTCCTCACAGTCATGCAAAAAGTTGCTGTGCTGTGGCCAGACCGTAACCCAAAGATTAAAAAATCAAAAGGCTAATTGAAGAAATACAACCATGATTCTCCAGCCATCACCTTCACTATCACAGAACAAGCAGAATATTTAGCAAAAAAAACCCAAACAACCCAAACCCAAAACATTAGGTCTCACCCTAAAGATAACTGGACAAGGTTGCATCACATGCTGTAAGGAATTTTCCCTTTACATTTATCAGTTTTCCTCTCTTGTCTTCTAAAATGACCATAGATTCTTCCGGGTGTCTGGATACATCGCTCCCAATTAAATACCAAGTGATTAGGTACCCTGAAAGCTTCATATTTTCATGATTTAAACCATTATTTCTTGCACCCTCTGCCATTTAGTGCTGAGCTATGTCACCCACAGACTTTATGGCTGGAACTATGGTGTGTCTCACACTGTAGGGATGAAAAATGTGATCTTTGCATCTTGGACCTCCCTCTTAACATGAGAAATGATTGTTGCACTTAACCAACAAACCACACAGCACTGAAGCTGAAGCTGCATTGATCAAGGTGCAGATAGCTGCCTGAAAGTGTTTGCAAAATGACCTTTAGAAAGTTTGGCTTTAAACAAAATCCTGCAGCTCACCTCTGGAACAACCTTAAGTGTTCACTTGTGTATGCATGGTGGAAATACAGTATCAGAACAGTTTGAAAAACAGACAAAGCAGTGGTACAAAAAAAGCAACCTTAACCTAACTGTCTGTAGGTGTACTTTTTAGCAGAGAAACAGAGCTGTAATACAAATGTACAATGTACTTGCCCTCTCTGCTGGGGAGGAGTGATTGGCCATGCCTTTTAGAGAAAGGTCTTAGGCTGTTAGGTACATGGGGAAGGATAGAGTGGGGAGGAAGAGGAATTTGTGTTAAGAGATTTTTTGGAATATGGTGAACATCCTGTAAGAAGTAAGCTAAGAATATCCTTCCTCCAGTTTTTAGTGATGAAATTCTCACTGTGAGATCAGAACCAGATGAAAAAATCACACTGCTTAGGCTTTGTGCAACTGCTGCTACGGAGTTTGTCTTCCCACAGTAACGCTATAGAGAAAGCCAATGGTCAGAGAGCAAATACCAACACCATTTCCTCTCTGCTCAGTACTTCTCAGCACAGAAAGCTCCTTGCTAGGAAGAAGAACCATCACCTCTTTGTAGCTGCACTGTGGGTCCCTCAGGAGCAGAGGAAGAGCAGTGACTCCAGCTGCTGAGGATCGCTGGCAGAGGATGATGGGGAGCTCACAGCAAGCTGGGTGGTGCAAGAAACCTACATCACTCACAAACACAAGAGCTACTTCGAAAGTTGCCAGGAAGACCATGTGCACTGTTGTTCTGCTCACCATCACTGCGGTCACAGGAGCTGTAGGTACAGAATTCTGACTGTACTTTAGTACCAACCCTCTGTTAACGGCAGAGGAAGAAAAGGCAGTATGTCAGAGTGATGTTTACTCAGTTCTTCTTTGGGAAAGAAGAAATCTAGGGCAATGGGCCTTTACAAATTGCTAAAGGGGATTTTTGATTGAAAAGCAATATCCTGCAAATCCAAACATTTCTAGCTGCAACTATATTTTTTCAATTGTCAACCAACAAGATTGAACTTGAACTTTTCAATGATTTGATAATAATTTTCTTGAAGTATGATTATTTTTCATGATAACTAACAGATCTATTAAAAAGCTGTTTGATGGGAGTTTTTCCAATCAATCTGAGCACCTTATCAAGCTTTACTCTTAAGTGTTGGTGACTTATCCAGACAAATGAAGTATACTGGATTTTACAACACTAGATTCAGATGGAGGTTTTAATAAGACTTAATGGGAATGTTCTTTCCCCTTTCCAAATTCAGGTAAATATTTGGAAAAGCTAATTCCAAAAATGTGGGATCTGAAAATGCAGCTATAACTTTCTCCTCCCTACCCTACATTAATTGCACAAATTATTGTTTTTCTTGTTTGTTTTTGTTATGACAGGTAAGGCAGGTAACAGGGAAGTAAACTTAAATCTCTCAGGGATCTCTGCATCTAAGAGCAAACAGGAATGTGTTTTCTTTCCAGTTAAATGTTATATTCCTCTACAATTTCATTCTCTCAGGCCAGGGAAACTGGTTCATGTAAGCTTTGGAGTGGCAGGGCAGGAATTGCCACCTGTGCTTGACCTGATTAGGAGGGCTGCTTAAATCCAGAACAAAAGTGGGCTGAATGCCTTCAAACATTCCTTTTTCTGCTGTAATGGGCAGTGATGTTGAGGGAAAAGCAACTTGAGAGATCTGCTCGTACAGATGGGCACTGTAGCTCATTCAGACTCTGCTTCATGGTTTTGCTATTTATCCACTGTCCTACGGAGAGAGGACCTTGCAGAGGGAGGGAATACCCTGGTCTGTAACAGTGCAGGTATTTCTCTGGGAAGCACAGAGCAGAACTCCAAGGCTCTGAGTGACAGCACCTTCTCAGACATCCTTCTCCTTCCTTCTCTCCTTCAGAGTTCAAGAGAGTTTCAGTGACCATAGGCAAGAGCCTTGTGCTTCTCTGTGCACATAGATCGAAAATAACCAGGGTAACATGGAAAATAAGCCCCAAGGTTGGAGGCCCCTGCACCTTGGGGTACAGAGCTGATCACAACAAGACAGACAGAACCAACTGCAGTGACAGCATGAACTGGAGATCCAGACCAGACTGGGATCCTGCCCTTGAGATACAGCAAGTGGGTATTGCCCACGAGGGAAATTACACCTGTGAACTAGTAACAGTAGATGGGAATTTCCCCACAACCTACCTCCTGAGTGTGCTGGGTAAGAGACTCCTTCCTCATTTTACAGCTCTCCAAAGGACCATGTCTGGGCCTGGACTTACAAAGCTGCTCTCCCACGGCACCTGGGAAAGCAGGCAGTAAGAAGAGGAGCTCTCTTGCTGGGATAAAGTGTCATGCATTGTGCTGTGTCTCCCTTCTCCTTGTTTCCCAAAACTCTTCTCCTTTCTGCTACTCCCTTTTCCACTGTCTAGTTAGAGATGAGATGTGTGAAGCAATTTCCAACATACTAAAAGAGAATCCTGCCTACCCATCCTGTTATCCCATAGAATCCACCACTAATACATTAAGAGCACTAACGCATGTGAGAGTAATACTTCTGAGTGCTGAGATGTCCTATTAAATGTGGGATGTTCTTATCCAGACAGTAGAAACAGACATGTTTCCTCTTGTGCTGGCTTTCTGAGACATTTTACACAACATGTATGATGGCTGCTTAGGACATAAGTCTAATTCACCCCTGTACTTGGGATGATTCCCTACTGCAGTATCCAAGGATACTGCCTCTGATGGTAGATGGCTGTGGAAACTCACCTGGATGGGGGAGAGTTATCCAAAAGAAAAGAAGAGGCACAACCTTGTCTCTTGTGACTTTGGCCCATGTTGTTGCAACGGGAAGGCACCTCTAACCATGTTTGTGTCTTTTCACTGTGTTCCTTCTGGGTAGAGAACAGGAACATCCGATCCCAGCAGCTGCAAACTAACTCCATGTATCTCCCCTTCCTGATGCTTTCCAGTCCCCCCCAGGCTGAGCCTGTACTGTGATGGCCACGGGAGCCACGTGTGCGAGGCAGCAGCAGGGAAGCCGCCTGCCTGGGTCTGGTGGGTCCCAGGGGGCAACTCCACCCCCAAGGAAGAAAGCCATGGCGATGGGACAGTGACTGTTCTCAGCAAGTTCACGGCCCACAACACCAGCATGACTAATGCAACCTGTGTTGTGTTCCACCCAGCAGGGAACCAGAGCAAGTCCCTAACCTGTCATCCCTCAGGTGAGCTCCTTTTCGTGTGTTCAGCCTTCATAATCCCATTCAGCCCTCTCTTCATCCACTAAGACACACATCAGTGGCACTAGCAGGATTGTAGCAAGAACTGTGCAGTGGAGCTGAAGCTGCCAGTAAGAAATTTGTCAAGAGGAGAAAAGATAAACAAAAGTGCTTTCAGAACTGTAAAGTCCTCTGAAATTCTAGGAAAGGAGATGGATGTAGTGGTCTTCCCTGCCACAGATAGGAATAAATGGAAAGGCAGGTTATTTAGAAGTTCATGACACACAAAGGTGTCATCTGGGTGTGATCACCCAGATCTATGCATTGTAATCAGGTGGTACCATTATGTCTTGCTAATTTTTGGGTTGCCCATAGGTTGTGACAGGAAGACTGAAAGGCAGCTTACAGCTTCCAAAGACTGGATGTTAGATGAAGGCTTTAGGTGGTAAAGATGAAAATGTTGCAGGAAAGTTCTGTGCAAGCATATGTACTTCCCAGAAGTACTCAGCTGGAAGAGAATCAGACCTGGAATTTTCTGGGATGCACCTGCAAGGCCTGCAGCTGAACTATGGGAGGTGGTGGGAGGAGAATCAAGTTAGTGTCCATATAACAAAAGCCACAGCTCCTCCATTGAGGGTAGGGGGTACATTGTTTATTCCCAGTTCTGTGCCCATGCTATATTCCAGGTACCTTAGGTCATCCTCCAAAGTACAGCACAAATTGAGCATCATCTAGAAGAAGCCATCCTGACAGAGGCACAGGGTAAACAAATAGTCTGTGAGCTGTACCTAAAAGAGCAACTCTTTCTTTTTAGGGAACAGTGCATGGCTTCTTTCATGTGTTTTCAGCCTTGCTAGTCTCCTGGGCCTCCTCCTCCTGCTTGCTGTGCTGCAGCTCTGCATCTTCTGTGGTAGCAGGTATGTATGGGACACGATACACAAGGCCCTTTGGCCAGTCCTGGCAAGTTTAGAAGGGCTTCTGGTACTATTTAATGTCATGTGCAGTCACCTCAGTCTGTCACAAACATGTGCTCATGTGTTCAGTATGTGCCTGTGGAGGTTTTTCCAAGATCTGTAACACCACAGCTGGGGCAGAGAGGGAGGGAGTCTGTATGTGAGTGATAGGGACCTGCCTCCTCCTGCCATACTTCTTCCAGAATAAAAAATACAAAGGGAATGGTTAGTTTTTTCTACCCAGTTGAGAGATTAGAACAAAGATTGCCAGACTATGAAGAGTAAAGAGGCAGCAAAATGCCTTTCTGAGCTTGGAGCTGGATTTTGGTCCCTTTTGTCCTACTCCAGGGATGCCCAGGAAGGCAGGGCCAACATAGAAACGCAAGAAGTACTGCATGAGAGCAGAACAGGTCTGCTGTTGTAACTGCTCAGGAGTTCTAGCAGCTTGGCTGACTACTCCATCTGAGCTAGCCTCTGTGTCACAAGGTGCAATTGCTGCCCAGAGTTACAGCACAAACACCACAGAGACAGAACTAACTACTGTGTTCAGGTCCCTTGAGCTCCATGCTTTGCTAGGGCTCTTGGTAGCTCTCTGGTACTGACTGGAGCATAACCAGCTCTGGTGTGCATTCATGTGAGATTACAGACATAGAGCCTTGTGTATTTTTGTTTCTCTGCCAAAGAAAGGGAAGGGATTCTGTTCTTTCTTTCCTAGAACAGCCTTGTCCTCACACAGAGTGTTGGTGTCTTTTTTCCTAGGACAAAGAGAAACTAGTACAAGGCATCTTCCACCTGCAGAGCTGTGGGGGCCTATCTCTAACTCAGCACCTGAGCAGATAAAAGAAACTCCCAGTATCCTTCAGCCAGAACTGTGACTGTGACGAACTGTGACAAAGCCAGGACTCACTGGTACCAAAGTGCTCAGGAGAAAGAAGCAAACACCTGCAAGGCACCCTGTGTAACTCTGCAGAAACATGTCATGCAGGGCAGGGCCTACCTGACCCTTGCAGCTCGCAGTGCTACTATTGATGCTGTTATCACTCATGCAGTTATCAATCTTTTTAATAAAACCAAACCTAACATATATGCAAAATAAAATTAATTAATGATGTATAAAATTAAATCACTCCATGTCAAATACATTGTATGCTAGTATTTAAGTAGCATAACTCATACTATAAAATACATCAGAAGACATTTTTTTTCATACTGATGAGCAGCAGCCTTCCCAGGATGATCACACAGACCTGAAACTAAATTTGAGCAACTCTCATTTTCACTGGAAGAATTTTGAAGTGTTTCACCAGTAGTTGCAAAAAAGGGAGACTGAGAATATTTGAGCTTGAGAAGTTATTGCTCCTTGAAGCATATGAGTTATTACAATCCTGAGATCTTAGCCTCACACTCATTTACCTCTTTGCATAACCCAGAGAGCTGCAGCCCACAGAACACAGCTTTCTAATATTAATTTCTTTAAACACATCTTCCTGCTCCTGTCTCAAGGGAGCCCTGGAGTTTAATCTTTCTTTTGATGACACACTACCACTACTCAGGCTCTAAACATAGCTGTGCCATCTCACTCCTCCACGCTCAGCAGAAATTGACATGTCATCCTTATTACGGTACAAAAGATTACCACACTGCAATGTGGCTGGAGACCTTTCCCACCTGCTGCATTCCTTCAATTTGCTGAATCTCTGTAATGAGATATTAATGATATTCCTGTGAGATGTCAGCTTACATAAGGGTGGAAGTGGGAAGGTACTGCAGGAGCACCTTTGCTAGGCATTGCTACCCTCTGTGCACTTGACATGTCAGGCCTTTCTACACTCTTTACATACCTTCCAGCCCCAGAGTGTTTTGGTTTTGTTCTTGGTTGTTTTGTTGGGGTTTTTTGGGGGGGGTTGTTTGTTGTTGGGTTTTTGGTTTTGTGGTGTTTTTTTTGTTTGTTTTGTTTGTTTTGGTTTTGGGTTTTCTTTGTTTGTTTGTTGTTGGTTTGTGGTGTTGGGTTTTTTTTAATTAGCTATGCAAGTATTTATTTGTTTTGGATATTATTTACACAGATCTCCAGCTCTGAGCCAGCAAGCTGGGCTTGAGGCATTAATAGGGTATAGAGAAGGTAAAACACAGAAGCCAGGTACTAAACTCCTCTGGGCTTTGGGGGCTCTTTGGGAGCTGCAAGCCTGCAAAAGTGTCTACAAACCTCAGCAGTTCTGAGGGCAGCAATGACACTCAGCCAGATTTATCAGCTGTGTTCTAGTGCCTTGTGCACACAGAAGAGGTTTAGGGCTTAGGGTTGACCAAAACCAGTGACTGGCCAGGCTCCCAAGCCAGAAGAACCCATATCTGAGGCTGTGAGATAACATTGCAAGTACAGGGAGGAAGAGATGATAGACAACAGAGAACTCCATGGCTTCCACAGAGCTGGAACATGATCCTGATCCTTGTGGATCATTCACTGCCATTACCCATGAGTGACCAGATCTCGGCCTATGTGAGCCTCATTTCACATCTGAACCAAATCCTGAAGGAGATAGGACCAAAACCTCACTTCAACTTCAGCAATAATGGTTAAACAAATATCAAGCTTTTCAATCTCAGCACACTAACACATAGAACATCTTTCTAGCTTTATACAGAAAAGGAAGTGCCACATCACTGCACTCCATCCCTCATGCAGCTTTTCTACCACTACCTTACTGCCCCTCACCCTTTCCTGGTGCAGCTGATGAACTGGTGTAAAACACTGCCTGGGGTGGTTTCTGCAGGATGCAGACAAGGTTTCTGCTGGCACAGCAGAAATCGTTCTTTTCACGTTTACATACAGAGTCCCATTCTGTCCAGCTGCTGTCACACATGGCTGTTCAGTCACAGCAGAGTCTGAGCTCTGCAGAGCTGACACACAATGTGAAAGAACTGAAAGACAAGAGCTAGAAGAATATACAATTCAGAAGCTAACAGTATTAGTGCTAATACTTTGTGGTCACCTAACTGCTTTAGCAAAAGCTCAGGAAGCAGAAAACCACACTGACTTTACTTGATATTTGTAGCTATCCTGATAACTGAGTTACCACAGTTCATGTCAACTGACTGCATGCAAGCTGACCCTGAGTTGATACTCAGCTGAATCTCATCTCTGCAGCAGCTGAGCCAGCGTCGAGCAGCTACACATGCAAACCAATGTGCAAACACGTGGCTTCTCCACCAGCAGCCTCAGCACCCACAAAGCTGCACTCTGCTTGGCTCCTACTAAGGACTTTACAGGCAGGGGGAGACCACAGAGAAGATTCATCTTCCTTTCTTCACAAACTGCAGGGCAAGTCAAGATTTCAGAAATACCAACAAAGATGTGCCCTAGGTTAACAACAGCCCACCAGTGTTGGCAGTATTCCAGATGTGTTCTTATTGAACTCTACTCAATACATTTATTTTCCTTTCCCCCAGATTACTCAGATCTCCAGCCAGAAATAAAAATACCTGACATCCTCTGTTGCAGTTTCCATTCAAATGGCTCAGAGTCTCTCTGTCCTCCATCAGGGATAAAAAAGATCAGACTCATGTACAGAGCACACAAAGTTCTGTAACCAGCCTTGCCCCTGCTCCCTGGTCTATTTACTCTCAAAGCCATCACAAAGCCTTCTGCAGGAGGCAGGACGAAGCATGTATCTCCGAAGGTATTGTGGTCTGTGGGGAAGGCCATGCTTGAGCAGGTGCACCTCAAAGAAACTGTCACTGTGGATAAGTTGATGCTGCAACAGGTATGTGCCTGAAAGACAGAGCAGTAGTTGTCAATGCAGACTCCTATGCTGTGTTGAATGGCATCACACAACGGCTCTGCCAAGGGCAGTCACTGAACCAGGAAGCAGACAGATCACCAGTTTGGAGAACTCAAGATTGGCAGCTCTTGTTCAATATAGCCAGAAAAACACCATTCAAGATGGAATACATGGTTGTTTTCAACGGTGTCCTGGTCTGAGCCAGAACAGAACAAATTTTCTTTCTGTGATTTTACTTTTCAGTTAAATCCCTTCTAAGTAGCTGCAGTTGCTGAAATTAACAGCATGTTTTTCAGCCAGTGTCTGCCTTCAGGACTGAGAAGGCTCCATGTTTATAGTTAGGGTGAGGGAATGGTATGTAGAACCAGGGTCACTGCTCAGTTCTGAAGAAAACATCTTATGCTCTGGAACCAGAAGGGAGTAAAGAGGTCACACCTGAGACCCTCCTTTGGGGAGGAGTGGACCAGACAGGTGACTAAAATTAACCAAACGAAGTATGTCATCCCATATACATCATACTGGATAGAAATTTGAGGGATCATGAGGGGCTTGCTCTCTTCATCCATGGCCATTGTCTTGGGATAATTTGATCTGTATATCTGCCTTTGACCCTAATCCCTATGTTCCTGCACCCCAGCTCCCATCTGCTGCTGACTCCAGGAGTTGTGTCCAGGACTTTTCCAGGGCCTGCCCTGCAGCTTCAGTGGTGATGTGGG